TATTAAATGTTGAGCCCCAATTACATTCCATTTCGTATCTGACATGAGTCAAATATAAATATTATAATGTGACGGATTTTGACTATATCGACTACTTCTACTTATTTTAGACCTAACAAAGTATATATATTTTTGATCAGCGTAAAATTCTATTTGGCGTATCAGCGTAGAATTCGATTTAGCCCTGTCCGTCCGACAGCCTGTTGTAATCACGCTACAGTCATAACGAATTAAGATATGAAACTAACATTTTGCACAGATCTGTCTTGTGTTTGCAGCCTCGAAGATGGGTTATATCAGTCCAGAATATCGTATAGCCACCTTACAATGGTACCCCCCGATAATCGGTATTTTGATGATTTCGGCAACATTTTTCAATGGAATTATCAGAACTTCAAAACAAACTTATCAAACTTCAAAAACGGCAACAAAGTCAAACGCCATAATTATACCCTCCACCTTGGAAATTATACCCTCCTTAAATATTCGTCGTAGACCCATAAATCAGCATAAAATTCTAAGTCGATTTAACGATGTCCGTCTGTCTGTCCATATGTCTGTCTGTCCGCCTGTCTGTTGAAATCACGATACAGCCCACATTATTTGATTATATATTTAGCAGAGCAATTGGTATTGTGTCTAGGATGGTTGGTATTGAAAATGAGATATATCGGTCCACGTTCTGGTATAGTCCCCATATAACGGTACCTCCCGATATTCGGTATTTTGATGATTTATGTCACATTTTTTCATGGATTTATCTGAAAATTGGTATTTATAGGTTATAGCAGGTCCCTGTGCGTTTGGCAAAACATTGCATGTATAGGTCCACGTTTTGGTATAGCTCCCATATAACGGTACCTCCCGATATTCAGTATTTTGATGATTTTTGCCACATTTTTTCACTGATTTGTCTAAAAATTGGTATTTTTGGTCATAATGGGTTCCAGCTGCAGTGGCGGAACATTGTATGTATAGGTCCAGGTTTTGGTATAGCTCCCATATAACGGTACCTCCAGATATTCGGTATTTTGATGGTTTTTGTCACATTTTTCACGGATTTATCTGAAAATTGGTATTTTTGTGTCCTAATGGGTTCTAGCTCCGTTGCCGAAATATTGTAAGAATAGGTTCACGTTTTTGTATAACCCCATATAGTGGTACCTCCCGATATTCAATATTTTGATGATTTTGCGACATTTTCCCACGAATATGTCTAGAAATTGGTATTTGTGGCACACAATGGGGTCTAATGTTTCCGTTGCCCTAAGGTGGAGGGTATTAAAAGATTGGCCCGGTCGAACTTTTCTTTAACTTACTTTCTTTAAATTTTATTGAATTAAAGCAACAAATGTCGGAAATAGCATCAAATATTAGAATAAGTTTAGATTTATTCGAATTGGTGACCTTTGGCACGAATTATGGCCTTCAAACGGCCAATGAAACCGTTACACGCTGCCCGAATGTTGCTCTGCGGTATTTTGGTCCATTCCCAGGGAAGCGCTTGCTTGATCGACACTTTGGTATTTTTTAGTGCCAACCTTGCTTTCCAAAATTCTCCAGATACAATAGTCCAAAGGATTGGTATCCGGAGATTTTGGTGGCCATTGTGCGCTGGAAATGAATCGAGGAACCTCATTTTGTAACCATTCTGAGTGCGATGGTGCTTAGTCCTGTTGGAATGTCCAAGGTCTGCAGCCAAAGAGTTTGCGTGCCCAAGGCTTTAATACACCCTCCAGAATATTTTCGCAGTAATAATCGGCATTTATTCTGATGCCACGGTCGATTAATACGAGCGGAGAGCGACCATCGGCTGTTATGGCGGTCCGCACCATCACTATGGCCGGCGCTTGAGTTCTGGTGGCCAACCGATGGTGCACATTTTCAGCTGACCTCTTTGGCAAGTAAACACGATTATTTTGTTTGTTTACAAATTGCTGGACAACGAATGTTTTCTCATCGGAGCGGAGAAAACCAAATTTGGCCGATCACCACTTTCGGCCAAGCGAAGGAACTCTTTAGCACTTTTGAGTTTATTTTCTTTCTGTTGCGGTATGGGTTTTTGCACTTTTTGGAATTTCAATGGCTTTACCCCGAGCTCATTTTTCAATACTTGCCGAATGGAATATTGCAATATGTTCAGCTCATGAGCAGTTTTTCGGCCACCCGCGTCGAAAAGTTGCTTTTTGCTTTTGGAACCATTTCTGCTGATGTTGTTGTTTTCTTCTACCAATTTCCTTGACGTCGGGCTACGCTACAAGTGCCACGGTAACGAGCGATGGTACGAGACTCGAAATATTTATTTATTCACATTTAAATGCTGGAGGGCTCTAACGATAGCCACTTGTGGTTTTCCAGCCAAATATAAAGAAATCACACTATTACGCTTGAATTCCATCCCGAATAACTTTTTTTTCTGGAAAATTCTCACCAAAATGCTTTTGTACGCTTGTAAACAATATGATTAGCTGTCACTGGAATAATTGTAACAGCTGTCGGACGAGTGGCTTAGAAATGACAGTAGTCTGAAATAACTCCCCAAATATTCAGTATTTTTGACTTAGCACTGATTCAAATTTTAGGATTTGCAAAGATGGAGAAAAATAAAAAAAAATATTTTTATAAAATATTTCGAACTTTTGTGGGGGAGGTACCAGAAGAAGTGGACCGATATTGCCCATCTCTAAACTCGATCAAAGTTTGACGATAATATTACGATATACCAAGATTGGACCAAATTGGATACTCCCTTCGAGGGTCATCGTGTGCGCCAGTCAGACAGACAGACGGACATCGCCAGATCGACTGCAAATGTCCTGAAAGGAATTTGGTCCAAAGAGACATAGTGTTTTAAACCGTTATTTCGATGAGGCATGTTTCGTCCGGATCAAATGATATATACCTCCCTCTAGCCATATGGCTAGTGGTGTAATCAGCCAGGATCAAAAGGTTCTAGAGGATTTAGAGTTCAAATTTAATCACAAATGATTTTGCAGAATATTTTAGCGGTTAACCCAGAATTTAGATTGTTTCAAATTTAGTACAAATAAGTACGACTTTGTAAAAATACCAACATATCTCATTATAACAATGCAATAGTAATCTTAGTTTCAAATTTCAAGATTGGTTCTCCCAAAATTTAAATTGTACCAAATTTAGTATACATAAGTTCGTATTTCCAAAACATTCTACACCTCAGACCTAGAATGCAATAGCTAACTTATTTCAGAATTCCAGCTGTATCGATTCACCCAAATCGTAGTTGTACCAAATTTAGTACTTTTCGTGCACATAAGTACACATTTCGAAAATTTCCTCCATACCCCAATCTTACACTCCGCCTGTAATGTTAATTTCAACTTTCAGGTTTTCAACTTCAGTCGTTCCTCCAAATTCAAATTGTACAAAATTTAGCACCGCTTAGTACTTTTTGTATACATGAGTACACACTTCCAAAACTACCTCCTCACATCGACTCTACTCCTCAAAGTTGACAACCATTCGAAATTTCAAGTTTTTAGCTCTAACCGTTTACATGATACGAAATTGTACCAAACGTAGTGCATTGCGTGCATTTATGGTGCGGATTTCAAAAAACACTTTGGAACATCTATCGTGCAATCCATCAGTCATCCTCATTCAAAATTTGAGAGTTCATCAAATTGAGCTCTTCATCAAATACATAGGGTTTATTTCATATATTTAGTACCCTTTAATATCCTACACTCCGCCTTTAATGTTAATTTCAAATTTTAGGATTACATCCATTTTCCAATTTAATTTGGTACCAATTAGTACTTTCCGTATACATGAGTACGCACTTCTAAAACTACCTCCGCGCATCAACTCTACTCCTCAACCTTGACTTTCATTCCAAATTTTAAGTTTTTAGCTCTAACCTTTCACATGATACGAAATGGTACGAAACGTAGTACATTTCGTGCACTTATAGTGGGAATTTCCCAAAAACCATTTGATACATCTATCGTACACTCCATCATTCTAAATTTAAAAGTTCTAAAATACCGTATCTATCACCCTTTAATACATTTCGCACCGTTCTAGTACGAATTTCCAAAAGCCCTGCCTTATCTAACCCAAAAATTTCATGATTCTAGCTTCTGCCGTTTCATCTGAGTAAATCAATCAGTCAGTGAATTACATTACTCTTTTTATACCCTCCACAATACTATGGAGGGTAAATTAACTTTGTCATTCCGTTTGTAACTCCTCGAAATACTCATGTAAAGCCCAACAAAGTATATATATTCTTGATCAGCGTAAAATTCTATGTCGATTTAGTGATGTCCGTCTGTCTGTATGCTGTAATCACGCTATCTTTCGAACGAATCGAGATAGAAGTTTAAATTTTCGCAGACATGTTTATTTTTTATGTTTAAATTTGGCATTGGAAGTTCCAAAGGGATACTACAGCCTAAGACAGAAAAGTGTCTTAACGGTACCTCCCGATATTCGGTATTTTGAAGATTTCAGAAACTTTATTCACCGGAATCGTTTAAAATTTCGTACTGGAAGATCCTAGTGGGTACTACAACCTATGGTAAAAAATTTCGTATGCAGGCCAACGTCTTCGTATAGCCCCCATATAACGGTACCTCCCGATATTCGGTATGTTGATGATTTTAGCGACATTATGTACCTGAATTATTTCGAATTTAGTATTTGAAGTTCGTAATGGTCCACGTCTTCGTATAACCCCCATATATTTGCCTATTTTATACTTAGGTTGTTCAGTTGTAGTTTTCGGAATTTTTTGAAATTTTTCAAGTTCCTTCGAAATGGTGGAGGGTATTAAAAGTTCGGCCTGGCCGATCATAACTGTTTTTTACTTGTTTAATATGGATAGATTTGTCATTCCGTTGACAAATTATTTCAAAGGGAATTCGTTGATTGCAGAAGGTTTCACCAAGGATTAGGTCTGCCTAAGCAAAGTTGGGGAATGGCCGCAACAAGATATATTTTTTTCAAACAAGCATCCGTTCACAATATATTTTTTATTTCATTATTTTATATAATATACAATTATTTCTTTTCACCATCGGTACCGCCATAGACCTGAAACATACCTATGATGTGATTCTTATCATAAAACTCCATTTTAAATTCGAAATTCATGTATGGCAAATACGACGGAATACTTTCAGTTGTTAAGGTGAAATTTTTCGCTTCATATACCACGTCCTGGAAAAAAATTAAAAACCTCAAATAAAATACCATTTTTCACAAATAAAATGTTACCTTCTTAAATGGACAGGAACTGGGTATATTACTGATTCGCTTAAACTCCAAGGCGTATTGTCGCAGAAACTGATTGCTCAACATTTGTTTGAGAAACACACAAACATTGAACGTCAAATCGACAATGTGCATATTTTGTCGAGAGTTCTTCGGCATAACATTCACCGTGACGTGCGTTTTAAAGCTGCGATCCAAATTACTGTCGAACTTAATGCGACCACTCAGGCCATAATGATTTGTGGCAAACTTGAAGTATTCACATTCGACGTAGGTAATTCTCGGCGTATATTTGTGACAGGTGAAATTGTTAATTTCCAATAGAAAATTGGAAGATTTCATAACCTAGAATTAGATTTATTGGAACTTATTAATTTACGAAAAACAGAACTGAAAGTATGACTTACCTGAATGAAAAACAGAATCAGCACCGTTTTTGGATGGTTCCCAAACATGTTGAATGCTTCGACTTATTAATCACAAAACCCTGTTTACCACCTCGTTAATATCGCTATGATCACACGCATTTTTGAATTTATTACTGATCCGTAAAATTATTATTGCCTATTGGACAGCTCTCGTAATTAATGAAGTTAAAAAGTTTAATTGTAAAAAATAAACAATTAACCAAACCTTTTAAAAATGACTCAATCGAATAATGACACATTTAACCTGTTTGGGAAATTATATATTGAAATAATGACATGCTGTCAGTAAGGGATAATATCAATTAGACTTTCAATTTGAGAATTCAAAATGGCGCCCAACATTAATTTATTACAATGCATAAATGGTCATATAGTAGTCTCACTTGACAATTTCAGTTTTTTATGTTCTTCATATGTTTGATCGGAATAGCAGCTATAGGCTTCATGTTCTTCATTGCCTCATGCAGGCTAGAGTCATAAATTAAAAGATAATAGAGCTAATATCTGTAAATCTACAAAGTGAGATGAAAAAACTGCAACCAACTTCAGACTGCTGTCATTTTTCACCCACTAGTCCGACAGCTGTTAAAATTATTTCAGTGACAGCTCATTATATTGTTGACAAGCGTACAAAAGCATTTTGGTGAGAATTTTCCAGAAAATAAGTTATTCGTGATGGAATTCAAGCGTGATAGTGATATTTCTTTATATTTGGCTGGAAAACCAAAAGTGGCTATCGTTAGAGCACTTCAGCATTTAAATGTGAATAAATTTTGAGTCTAGTACCATATCTTGTTACCGTGATGCTGGTAGCGTAGCTCGACGTCAAGGAAGTGCACGGAAGAAAAGAGCAACATCAGCAGAAATGGTTCGAGAAGTAAAAAAGCGACTTGATCGAAACCCTCGTCGCAGTGGCCGAAAAATGACTCGTGACCTGAACATTTGGTTTTCTCCACTCCGATGAGAAAACATTCGTTGTCCAGCAGTTTGTAAACAAACAAAATGATCGTAATTACTTGTCAAAGAGGTCAGCTGAAAATTTGCACCTTCGGTTATCGGTTGGCCACCAGAACTCGAGCGCCGGCCATGGTGATGGTGTGGACCGCCATAACAGCCGATGGATGCTCTCCATTCGTATTAATCGACCGTGGCATCATAATAAATGCCGAATATTATCACGAAAATATTCTGGAGGGTGTATTAAATCCGTTCCAACAGGACTCAGCACCATCGCACTCAGCACGCGCCACCCAAGAATGGTTACAAAATGAGGTTTATCGCTTCATTTCCAGCGCACAATGGCCACCAAAATCTCCGGATACCTTTGGACTATTGTGTGTTGGAGTGTTTTGAAAAGCAAGATTGGCACTAAATAATACCAAAGTGTCGATCAACTCAAGCAAGCGCTTCGCCGGGAATGGGCCAAAATACGGCAGAGCAACATTCGGGCAGCGTCTGGCGGTTTCATTGACCGTTTGAAGGCCATAATTCGTGCCAAAGTTGACCAATTCGAACAAATCTAAACTTACTCTAAATTTTGGCGCTATTTCCGACATTTTTTGCTTTCATTCAATAATTTTTTTTTTTCAAAAAATGTAAAAATTATGGAATTTGATTTTGTTGCAGTTTTTTTTTGTCTTGCCCTGTATATTAATAAATAAGTAAATTAATTAACTGGTTGACTAACTTAATGATTCATTAACGTCCAGACGAAACGCTGAAGCTAGAATCTTGAACTGTTGTGGGAGAGTCATTCTTGATCCGAATGTGTCAGACAAGTCTGGCTTTTTGGAAATTCGTACTAGAACATTACGAAAAGGTACTAAATATAGTACCCATTGTATTTGTGTGAACCGATAGACCTGGAATGCGGAAATTTAGAAATAAGATTACTACTGCATTGTAGGATTGGAGCATGTAGGAAGTTTAGGAAATTCATGCTTATGTGTACTAAATGGTACTAAATTTGGTTGTGGGGGAACCAATAGAACTGGTATCCTAAAATTAGGAAATAAGATTAAGGTTTGGATGTCGGAGTGTAGGATTGGAATATGAGGGTATTTTTTATACGGACTTTCTTTTTAGATCTTCCGCGTTTTGAAGTTGAAGTTGTGCTTTCTGCAGTCTTAGGCTTCTCTTCATAATCTTCTGGGGAGGAGTTGGGAGAATTAGACTCACCTTTAGCCACAGATTTTCCCTCTGATTGGATGAGTTTTTTATCTTTGGAATCTTTTGGAATTGCGATTTCTTCTGAAGTATAAAATTGTACTAATTGGTACTAAATATAAATATTTACATATGTATAGTTATTGGAAATGTGTACTATAATTGTACAAAAATACTGAATTGTACTATATTTGGTATTGGGTGTAGGGATAGATATAAATTACTTGAATTTAGATTGATTATGGTATTTAAAATTTCGAGGTATTTTGAAAATGCGTCCTATTTGGTATTGGGTGAAGGGACAAGGCTGGAGTCCCCAAATTTGAGATGTGGGGGTGGTTTTTAAAATGTGGATGGAATGGAGAGGAGGATATTGGTAACCTTTTTATAAACAAGACAGGACTCGATGTTTTGCGCCCTGTCTTTGACGATCACATTATCAGCCGCAGAGGTGGTGTCGGTCGGCGACCTCGGAGCTGCCGATTTGACACCGTTGGACTATTATTTGTGAGGTACCAGCAAAGATAAGAGTTACACCGACAAGACAGAGACAATTGACGCTTTAAAGGCAAATATGACTAAAGAGGGTAAATATCATTTGGCACGGCCAAAACGTGCCTCATCGAAATAAGGTTTTTAGAATCTAGGTCTCTTTGGACCAACTACTAACTATAACTCTTAAAAGGGAGTAAACGATTTGGTCCAAATTTGGAAAATCGTAATACATTTGTCAAACTTAAATCGAGTTTTGAGATGGGCAATATCGGTCCACTCTTTTGGTGCCTACCCAACAAAAAAATATATATATTGCTGCACAGAAAGAGAAAGAATAATTCGATTTTGCTCTAACCTTGTCCTAATATTTCCATCAGTGCTAGGTCAGGTGCGAAAATGGACAATATTGGTCCACCTCCCCCACAAAGGGTCAACATTTTGAATAATTATATCTCTTATAAAATGTGATGTAAGAGTCCGATAAAAATTGACAAATCTCCAAAATTTCTATCAACACCAGATCTGTTAAAAAGAAGGATTCCTTCTGGAACCTCCCAAGGGGATTATGAAATCCGAAATAAGTATCTGGTCCTCTTCATACTTTACACATCACAATATTTTTATTAACCCAAGGTCTGGTGAGAAGATGGAATATATCGGTTCACTCTTTCTGATACCTACCCCACAAAATGTCAAATGTTGAATATCCACGAAATTAAAAAAGCGAAATTAACATCCGATTCCATTTAGACTTGGCACAACTCAATATTTCCATCAACACAAGATCTGTTATAAAGGTGCTAGAGATGGGACAATTTCTTCTGATACCTCACCCATACGAATATAATCTATATATAAAAGGAAGTTGTGTTAGTTACTACTCTTATAACTCAAGAACCGCTGCTCGGATTTTAACGATTCAGTCAAATTCGGAATTGTCTCTTGGCGGAAAAGGATAATATCCAAAAAATCGCGTAAAAAATATGAAATATAAACGTTTTCATTTTGACTTTTGAAAAGTACAATAGTAATGTTTTATTTTGCATGATTCATTTTCATTTTTTTTGACTTACTATTTTCGAGTGTACAATTGTAGTGTTTTTTTTTTTTTTTTTTTTTGTTTTTTTGAATTCTAATATGATGTGTTGTTTGGGGTGTTAAAAGCGGCAACGGAAAAAACTTGTATTTATAGATTTTATGTATTTATTGTGTAAGTGAAACTATCCGAATAAAGTTATTTCAGAAGAGGATAAGCAATGAACAAAAAAAAAATCAATTTTTAATGTGTACGAACGGTTTTTTCAATTCAATTAACATTGTTTAATTGTCTAGATTTCTTGAGAATTTAAATTGCAGGCGGGCTACATAGAATGTAGTACCGAATCATGTGGTGGCGAAACTGAATAGATAATGTCGAAATAATTTTACGTGGTCACATAAAGGTCAAAGGATAATTACTTTTTCAAAATCACTGATAAATTAAAAAAAGACTACCTCATTGCAAAAATTTTAAAATCGGAAAAAAATCGAGAAAAAAATTCAATGGGATCGAATTTCAAAATTATAGTACGTTCTGTTGACAAACTTCGTAAGGACTTTTAAACATTTGCTATAAAAAATCAACGAACAAGTTAAATATTTTTTTTTTAATGAGTGCGCAATGCACTCTTAAATGGCGATCTTTCATGTCTAAAATTGAAATTTAGCTTTCAACTTCAGGACCTACATCGTGCTGCAGCTGGAAGATGCTTAAAATAAGAAGTTACCCTAAATCGATTTTGCAGGTTAAGATATGGGTCATAACCCCCGGATAAGGGTACAATCCGATTTCAAGAATATTTTAAATTTTAACTATATTTTTAATTTCGGCAAATGATGGCAGTAATTTGCCAAGAAACCATCTTTGCAAAAAACGATCACGACCATCATATGATTTAAGATATTTTCGGGGTCTTGTCCATTTTTCAGTCAATGGCTGACAAATAAGATCAGGCTATTCAAAATATCAAAAACCGACGGTAGGTGAACATCAATTATAATTTTTGCATTAATATTTATTTCTATTTAGAAATTACTGGATTACTGGAATCATTACTTATAATAAAAATTCTGCCGCTTACATAGGTCAGATCTGTGATTTATTATGCTTTAAAAATTGGCTGAAAGTGCGGGCCGGCAACGCGGACCGGGCCAGCCAGAAATAATACAAAACATATTTGTTCAAATTTTGTCGGAATATACTTTTTACTTGAATATATTTACTCATTTATTGATTTTTCAATTTCTTCACACTGTCTCCATACCACCACTTCCGCTGATCTCCACTGTTCCAATCAGATTGTTCCTATTGAAAACCTCAACTTTATAGTAGAAATTGGACAATGACAACATTCTCGGCACAAATTTATCCGAAAGCGTAAAATTCTTAACTTCGTACGCAATATCCTGAAGAAATAATAAAAATTCCGAAAATAAATCTCCAAAAAAAACGAAACTTTCCAAAACTCACCTTTTTAAATGTACACGATTTGGGTAAGTTAGTCACCCTCTTAAATTCCGTAACCAGCGGTTCAAGAAATTTACTGAACGACATTTGTTTGAGAACATTACAGATACTGAATCTCA